GACTCCCCCGTGGCAAGGGGCAATCGACTGGCTGATCTTTCGGCCAAGGAGGCTGCTCTAGCATCTGTTACCCCAGTTTTGGCAACTCGACTCCCTGACCCAGGGACCATGACTCTACCCTGTAACAATTACAGTGAAACAGATATAAAATGGATTAATTCCTTACCTATGACTCAATTTAAAAATGGTTGGTGGAAAGATGCTAAGTCAGCGCCTATCCTACCTGAAAAACTGGGGACAGAACTGCTCTGGAAAATTCATAATGCAACCCATTTAGGGGCAAGAAAAATGCAAGATCTCGTTAAAACTGCAAAGATTGTTATCAAAGACTACCGGGCGAAAAATAAAAAACATTGTCTCAGACTGTAAGGCTTGCCTGCTAACTAACCCAACAAAGACTTCAGGAGCAACCAAAGGAGCCAGAGAAAGGGGAACCCGCCCTGGAGCCTACTGGGAAGTGGACTTTACTGAGGTAAAACCGGGACAATACGGATATAAATACCTGCTGGTCTTCATTGATACTTTTTCCGGATGGGTAGAGGCCTACCCAACGAAAAAAGAGACCGCCCAGGTAGTAACAAAAAAAACTCTTAAAGAGATCCTGCCACGTTTCGGATTCCCTACACAGGAAGGTTCCGATAACGGTCCCGCCTTTGTCTCCAAGGTAAGTCAGGGACTGGCGGTGGTTCTGGGGACAAATTGGAAATTACATTGTGCCTATCGACCCCAGAGTTCAGGGCAAGTTGAAAGAATGAACAGAACCTTAAAAGAGACCTTGACCAAATTAACCCTAGAGACTGGCGGGGACTGGGTGGCGCTCCTCCCCTTTGCCTTGTTCCGGGTACGGAACTCACCTTACATGTTGGGGCTAACCCCCTTTGAAATTATGTTCGGGAGACCTCCCCCTATTGTACCTAGTTTAAAGACTGATTTAATTGTCAACTTGCCTGTTGATGCTCTGTTTTCCTCTCTCTGACTCCTCCAACGGGTGCACAAGGACATTTGGAAATGGCTAGAAGCCCTACACCTCACCAAGCCACCGCCAGAACCTCATCGTTTCCAACCAGGGGATTGGGTCTATGTGTGAAGACACCGCTCAGACACCCTTGAGCCACTCTGGAAAGGACCCTACTCCGTCATCTTGGTCACCCCAACGGCCCTCAAAGTAGACGGTATATCGACGTGGGTCCATTTCTCACATGTGAGGCCTGCTGATCCTTTCACCGACATCCATGAGGTTCTGCCACAATGGAGAGTTTCCAGGCATCCAGACAAGCCACTCAAGTTAAAACTTCAGAAACTCCCCAGGGAAGTATCTCCTTCTTAAGGTACTTTGTGCTCTGGGCAGCCATCCAAGGGCTTACCTCAGCCAATCCCCATCGTCCAGTGGACATGACTTGGATGGTCTACAACCCTGAGACCGGAGAACTACTTAATTTGAGTTTCAACGTAGCTCCCGAAGGGACATGGTGACCTGTATTGACCTTTGATTTATGCGTCCTGGCAGCCGACATTAACGGCTTCCATGGTCCCAGTCAACTGAGTGACTTTATCGGGAGCCCTCAGTTTGGGACCCTTGGCCTTTTTGACTGGGCCTTCCAGGGAGACACACCATGCACAAAACCCACACCCATATATGTCTGTCTGGGGGGAGGAAGGGATCGGAACCAAATTGCAAAATGTGGGGGAGTTGATTCTTTTTATTGCACTGCTTGGGGATGTGAAATTACAGGGACTGTCCATTGGCTCACCAATCCCGTCAAAGACCTCATTCAGGTAAAATCACCCCCAGATTTCCCACCACATAGGGCGCTATTGTCTAAACCTGGACAATGTTTTCCATTACAGATTAAGTTCACTGATGAGGGAAAAAAGTTTACTGAGTGGGACGTAGGCAGAGCCTGGGGCCTATGTCTTTATCAGGCTGGATTCGATAATGGATTCCGGTTTGAGCTTAAATTACAGCTGAGACCACTCTACTCCGCCCCCAAGGTGGCTTTGGGACCAAACCCGGTGATAGCCTCAAAACCCTCCTCCCAGATGACAACCCCAAAACCTCCCTCCCAGAACCAAAGTCAAGATACTAGACTTGCTCCACACACTCCCCCCATAGTTCCTTCCATAGTTGACATCCCCCCCACAGATCCCCTTATAAAAATGATCTCCTCAGCTTACCTTACCCTTAATGCCTCTCGTCCGGACTTAACAAATGGTTGCTGGCTCTGCTATAATATTAGGCCTCCTTATTATGAGGCAGTTGCTTTTTCTTCAGGATTCAATGTGACTGCCGATGTCTCAGCCTGTAGATGGCAGCAACAACCTGGAACGGGCCGCCTGGCAGTAAGCTCCATTACAGGTATAGGCGCTTGCATAGGAGCTATCCCTGAGACTTATCAACACCTATGTAATCACACAGTCTCTATGACTGACTTCACTAACTCCAGTCACCAGTGGATCGTCCCACCGAAAAATGGGTGGTGGGCTTGCTCCGCCGGACTAACTCCGTGTGCCCATCAGGCGACACTAAAAACCTTCCAAGATTTCTGTGTCCTGGTTCATCTAAGCCCCCGGCTGAGCTATTTTTCAGAAGAAGAACTGCAACCAAGGTTGGAGACACCAGGTCAGCATAGGGTAAAAAGAGAGCCCGCCACTGCCCTCACTTTAACTGTCCTGTTGGGATTGGGGGCTATAGGAACTGGAAGTGGAACTGCAGCCTTAACACTCCAAGATAAACAGTACAACCAGCTAAGGGTTGCAATAGATGAAGATATTGAACAGCTCGAGAAATCCATTTCCCACCTCCAAGAATCCTTAAGTTCTCTGGCTGAGGTAGTGTTACAGAATAGAAGGGGTTTAGATCTGCTGTTCTTACAACAAGGAGGACTATGTGCAGCCCTAGGAGAAGAATGCTGTTTTTATCTTGACCATTCAGGAGTAGTACAGAAATCTCTTCAAAAAGTTAGAGAAAGCCTAAGCAGGCGAAAACAAGAAAAAGAAAATGGACAATCATGGTTTGAGTCTTGGTTTAATACTTCCCCTTGGTTAACTACCCTGATTTCTTCTCTATTAGGACCCCTCATTATACTGTTATTAATCTTAACTATAGGTCCCTGCATATTAAATAGAATTATGTCCTTTATACAAGATAGATTCAATGCCGTTCACCTGATGATAGTCAGATCTCAGTATTCAACTGTTCCCACAGACGATATAGAAGACCCATGATTGGGCCTTCCATAGGAACAAAGAGAGGGGGAAATGTGGAAGAAAAATTTAAAACAACTTCATTTTAGATAGCATTGCAATTCTGAGCGAGAACCCTTCCCGTGAAGAAGAGAAAAAACTTCCTCAAACCAACCAATCAGAAGGAGACGAGTTAACCTCCACCCCTAGGCAATCTAGAAGGGCGGGAGAAGTCCCTCACCCCACCCCCATCCCATCAAGACTTCCCGCGCACCGTATGAACTAGCCAATCCCCCTAAGTTTCCCTCCCCGCCGTCCCTGCTATACAGTATAAAACAGACTCCCCGCTCTCACTTGGGGCTCCTTCACCATTGTGTGAAGGGAGTCCCTGCTCGAGCTTGTAATAAAGCTCCTCACTGCTTTTGCATCGATCCGAGGCTCCTGTTGTGTTTGGGGGAATTTCGCAATCCGGGTACAACAGGACCAGTCGTGGTCATAGTAACTATTTCTTTCGCTATAATCAGTCATATTTTATACAGGCCTGGGTCCCACTTCCTTTTCTTATAGTCATAAGAAATTTAGAATTTAATAAGACTTTACATTTTGTAACTTGTAGTAATTGTAAACTATATACTTGTTTTAACTCTATTTCTTTAAGCTACTCAATTTTGTGTTACTCCTGTCCAATTCAATCATAGTGCCTACAACTGGGAACAAATCAAATTTCATTTACATGATAATGCCTCTCTAAATGTACAATTACTGCAAAAGGAAATCTTTAAAACTTTTTCTAAACATCTGCCCTCTTCCACTAATTTGGAAACTTTAGCTGAACAAATTATCTGGGCTAGACCCACGAGGATGGTTTCATAGTATTACCCACAGCATCGGGTCTGGAACTGTAACTTTGGTGATTGTCTTGATAATTATATTTGTTGTTTATCATCACCTTTCTATAAGGTTGGTTAATACTAACCAAACTCATTTGGTCAGGACCTTTTTTTTTTTTACAAATATAATAAAATAGGGGGAATTGTCAGGAAGCATTTAACAGGAGGCTTCCTGTGTGCCTGGAGAAGGAAATGGCAACCCACTCCAGAACTCTTGCCTGGAAAATTCCATGGACTGAGGAGCCTGGTAGGATACAGTCCATGGGGTCGCAAAGAATCAGACACGACTGAGTGACTTCACTTCACTCACATGCTGTGTGCTGTTTTGGATCTGTCAGGAATCTTCTGGTCCTTATTAATTCCTGAATATTCAGGAATTAAGAGGAGAGGCACGCCTTTCCCTGGGCTGAGGAATCCAGGCATTTCCTTCATTAGTTTTTCAATACGGTGATAA